GGCAGGGCGCTGTGCTGTGTTCTTTGGTGCTGTGGGATCCAGGAGTCAGTCCGGTCGCTGTGTCTCAGAAGGAGGTCCAAGCGCTTGGACTCTCAGGGAATCTATGTTTGGTACTCGCACATTTCCTCTCTTTACTTCCCATGTCCTGGCTGAGTTATATATTTTACAATGGTTTGTGCACTCCAGGTGTCTTGAAAACCCACAGGGGCAGTTCTACCCTGTCCTCTAGGGGCGCTATAGAATCAATTTGATGGAACAGAGTCTTAGGGGAAATCTCGGTTTACAGTGTACAAGAGACATTGTTGAACTACCTACCCTCGTTCTCATGCAACTCTAAGTCCTGTTACATGGCCACCCCCTGCCCTCCCACCTTGGCTGAATGTCTTGGTCATCCCTGTGGTAGTTACAGGTACACAATTTCATGTTAACTTGATAAAAGAATGAAGGGGTGGAGTCTAGCCTGTCAATCAGGTCACAGCCTCATGAGGCCTTGTGGGTGTGGCCTAATGATGAGGATTCTGGGAACTTCCTCTCTCTTTCACACTGGAGGTGGACCACACTCTGCTTCACCTTCCTGTTGACAAGCCACGCGGAGCCACGCTGATGGCAGTCAGAGCCCTGGAGATGCGTCCACTGCCTGCCATTGGATCCACAAGACTTGCACCCACCAACCTGTGATCTTCATACATTCAGCATCATTGCACGTGCTGCATGAGTCCAAAGAAAAATTTATGGACTAGTATTGGACTGATATCGGATTTATAGACTTGATCTGGACTGGGCTGGGATGCTTTCTCAATATACAATTTCTCTTTGATTTAAAGCTCTCTCTTACACATGAGGATCTTACACATGAGGATCTCTGGATTTGTTTCTCTAGTCAGCTGGCTTAACATACACCCTTTCATAAGCAGCCATATGGAAGAGGGGAGTCCGATGACCCATTACTGAGATAGGGACCAAGACATCTGAGCACCTGAAGTGGTATCAGGCCTGCTGGACGGCCAGTGGGTGTGGTGAGGTGCTGACTGCTGCTGAGGAGGGATGCTGACAAGGCTCCATGCAGGAAAGACAACATGCAGATCTGCACTGCTGATCACTACTTTCTGGCACTTGTGAGACATCGATGCTGGTTTGAAAGCATCAGATGAACAGGGCATTACACCCTGGCAGAAGCAAGGACCAGGCGTTGCTAGGGCTTCTCACCCTTTCTGCTAAAATCACTCTCAAAGCAAGCCCACTTTCTCCAGAGTGAGCCTGCTCATAGGACCCACCCTTACAGCTGGCAACTTCCAACTTGCCAGAGGCGCCTTTGCTCTACCTGTGCCTGTTTGAGAAGTCCCCGAAAGGAGCAGTGACAGGCCCAGGCCCAGCCTGGATTAATTAGCTGTGCCTTGAGGATGTGCTGAGGTAGAAAATGACATCCTGAGGTGGTGCTGCCCTTGGGTGAGTGGAGGACATGATTCCTCTGGGAAGGGCTGATGGGACAGTGTATAGACCATCCCATGGGTGCCTACCACTCTGGACCACACAACAATGGATGTAGTGACAGATGACATGCTTCATCCGATCCAATCAAAATGTTCCATGTAGAAAATAGGAATCTCTGTCAGCGCCATTTCATGCCTTCCACATCCCACTCTCCTTATACTTATTCAACTTTCTTTGCCATCACAAAAGTCTATCATGCACACTTCTGAAATTCATACCATTTTGTCTTTTATTTTTAACTTGCGAAACCTCCGCTAATATTTGACGCCGGTGTTTCCCACATGGCCCTCGGCACCCGCAACATGTGTCTGCAGTTCCCGGGAAGGGTATTCCTCTGACCTTTGAGGCCATGCTTGGCTGCCTCCGGCCTCCAGCCTCCCCTATCTCTGTATCTCACCTGCTCCTCATTACTTCCCTCTCTACCTATGGAAAGGTCATCTTGGCTTCACGCCAGTGGCCCAATTTCACTGGGCCTCCTTTTCTACACTCACCAAGGTTTTTGACCTGTATGAATCTGTTTTATCTTCTCTGGCTACCCAGGTTGTCAAGTATTATTGGGGAAAAATTGTATCAGTCCATAGAGTTATGAAACAGAGAAGTGTTGTTTCAAGCTTCTATAAACCTTTCCCTGGCTGGACAGTCAAGCTACTTGTCACTTGTCTTTCTCGTATCGTGCCCACACCAACGGATTACATTTGCCTTATGTTCTAAGCTGTACGCTACTTGATACAGTAGGCAAATAATGCAGAAACGTGTTCACTTCATGAGTGACTAAGTGATTGTCTCAGCAGATACATCTTCCTTAAGGGAAGCAAGGCTTGGGATATGGACACTCAGGTAAATTTTCCTTTCTGCATAAATTAAAAAGAATTAGGAAGTACCTAACCTCAGTGCATTTATGAAGATGCATTTATGAATTAGGGCATTCCAACTTAGCATTCTGGTCATAGGATGGTAACTGCAAAGTAAGTGAGTATCATTGAAAAAGCAAGATCCATCATCAAAATTATCAGTATCTATTTGGCAAAAGTGGATGGAAAACCCCAATATAAGATGATGGAATTGACAAGAAAACAAGTCTGGGAAGAAGTATTCATAGCAGCGAGTTAATGAGATCGTCGATAGCTGAGTATCATTATTTATCAGACATCACCACCCGCAAATGGTTCAACAAACTTTTAAAATGCTGAATGAAATGGATGAAAAAAACCATTGGATCCACACAAATATAAGCTACTAGATAGTTGACCAGGAGGAATTCCAAAGAGAGTAAATTGGCACTGCCATGTGGATTGAGGGAGGGGCTTATTTTTCAGGGATTCATTTAAAATGAAAATAGTCAAGGTTTTGGAGTTAGTGACTGGCATTATGTTAATATTACTTCTTCTATAATTCTTATCTGTGAATAATGTAAGAATAATATGGTCACATTTCTTTACACACATGTCTGACATTAGAAATGTGACAGCAGTAGGCTGCTTCGTGGAGATTCTGCAGGGCCCAGAGACCCTTCTGAAAGCCTCTCCTCTCTCTAGCCTGGCACTTTTCTCAGCGATTTTATTTCTCTCCAATCCTTTGACTACAACTTATTGGGCCAGGTGGAGCACCTTAGTATGAGCCAGCAAAGGTATCTAGGATAGAGGAGGAAGCAGCTGACGTTTTTTGTCCCCAGCACAGGTGAATCAAATCGCTGCTCTTGCATTCCATGAGACACCCAGACCTTCACAGTGAACTTCCTTTTTCTCCTTGAGTTGGATACATAGTATCTATTGCTTGGGCTGTGGTGAAACATATTCCTATATGATGTGTGGTACTGTAAACAGGTATTCATTTTGTGGGGAAACATTTGGTAATACGTATGTCTATTAAGAACACACATGTATGCCTGTAGACTCCATTGTATCACTTGTGCAGGGCAGGGGGTGGGGGAGGTCATGTATTGGGAGGAATTTATCTGATGCATGCACTTTCCTGTTCCTCACAATGCGTTTTATGATGCCAAAAAGTCAGGACATCACTGGGGTTTCCAAAATCTGGGGCTGGTTGAGATATCAGCATGTGTCTGTGTTTTGCAACATTGTGAACTTAGAATGTTTCAGAACAAATAATGAACGGAGACTACTCTGCTGTGATCTTACGTGGAGAATCTATCGACAGCACAAGAGACATCATGCCTCTGACATCATTTATTTATGTACACAAGACCCTCACCATCAAGGCCAGCCTGAGCCTCCGCACCCTTTCTGCGCGGAGGCTAACGGTTCCCTTGGGTTTCCAAGGTGCATGTTTGCAGGGAAGCGAAATGCCTCATCTTGCTTCTGTGGAGCAGCGGGTGGGTTTGAACCCTCGGCACCACAAGGGTCCTGTTTCGTGTTTGTGTATGGTGAATACGCGTAAAAGCAGGAAAAAAGGCACCTGGATAAAATGATCTGTTTCTTAGGACGGGGAGTTACGCATGCTTTGCTGATCTTCTAATCGTCTGCAGTGGTCACGATGCAGTCAGAAAGGTATCTATCACTTGAAATAGGGCCTATGCAAAATGACATGTAGTATGTCAGGTGCGATACAGAATTATTTCTGTTCGTTTACAAGACAAACTTTGAAAAGTTCAAAATGACATGTGAGGTCCACATCGTCGAGTGTAACAGCAACAACAAAAGATTCTCTTCTGTCTTTGATTTTTCAGTGCCCCGATAAAATATCAATACTACTGAGTTCCTCGCTACACCAACGTGTCAATGAAAGCGTTTGTACTTGCTCACAGTTGTGTTACCGTCTAGGGAACTCACAAGTTCTGCCCCGTTCTAGGGTCACTATGACTCGGCATCGACTTAAAAGCTGTGAGTTTGGTTTGGTTGGACTTTTAAAAATCTTAATCAATTAAGAATGAGTATAATTGCAACCAAATGATTACAATCAAATTATTTATTTTAAAGGATTATGACTTTACAGGGTTTTAATCAAGTTACAACAGTTTAGAGATATAGATAAATACACACACATAGAATATATACTTTTTAAGACAGTAAGATACACTTTATGATATATAATCTTTTTAAAATCACAAAATATATATTTCTCAGATATGAAATATGGCCAGTATGACTAGGAACACAGTTAATATCGAGGGTCAGAGTAAGCTCTTTGCAAGTAGTAGACTTCCATATGTGACATCAGTAAGACCATGACACCCAGAAGCCATCCAACTGGCATTACTTTGGTAGGGCGAATCGCTGAGACTGGCAGAGTTTCACAAAAGGTTTTGACACTGGACAGGCTTTAGCTGCTGGTAGGTTTTAACGACTGCTTAGCAAACTTGGGACACAGGTGCAGGAGCAGGTACAAGTGGGTCACAGTTGCAGCTTAGGTCAATCTGGTCCTACGCCTTTCATCACTCTGGAACCTGGGCAGTGACGTCCTGAGCTTTCATCGCTTGTGGCTTTTCTAAAACTTTAACATCTCCTAAATATGGGAATTTACAGGCACAGATCAAGAAACAGACCGTGTGTGTGTGTGTTGCACTTCTGCCAGTAAAACATTCCCAGCCGACACATTCATCCTGCGGCTAACATCTTTCTGGGAGGGGCCGCTGCTCATTCATGCAAAAAGCGCCAGCCCCGTCCCTTGCTGTGGAGTCAGCGCACAGAGCACCACCGGGCAGCGTAGACCGGACCCCAGAGGCTTCCAAGGCTGTGCATCACGATAGCACACTCGAACCTCTTCTCTCTTGGAATGGCAGGGAGGTGCCCAGGCCCAACCTTTGGGTCAGCAGTCGAGGGCTTAAAAACCATAACTCCAACAAGACTTCTTATCTGCTGCGGAACGACACACAAGGTAGCTTTGCTTTGTCTGAGGCAAAGGGAAAGAGGAGCATATGTTCTGAGCTGTAGAAAAACGGGTTCAAGCCACATGATCCATTACCTCCTCAAATGCTGAAGGGACATAATGCTCTCTAGGATAGGGATGTTTTTCTTCTCTCTTTCGCAAGGTTGCCTCGCAGACCGGCGGTGGGTGTTTCACTCAATCTCAAAACAGGGCACCTGCTTCCTGGTGGAGGAGCTCGCGTTCTCCGAGGGGCGGTAGGACAGTGTGCTCATCTTGGTGGACAGGCTGGGGTGGGACTTGGCCTTCGGAGGGATGTATTTCAGAAGCTGGAGAATATACTTCTTGAACTTTTTCCCCAGGAAGCCGTAAAAGAAGGGGTTGAGGCAGTTGTTAAAATACGCTATGCAGATGGTGATGGGCATGGCGGTGTCCACAATGTCCGCCACGTGGCAGTCGCGGATGATGCCCAGCTGAATGAGCACGTCCAGAAAGGTGAAGATTTGGTGCGGGACCCAGGAGAAGAAGAAGAAGAGGACAATGGCCATGATGATCTTAAAGATGTCGTCGTTCCTCGGCTTGTTCTTCTGAATCTCATAGGCCTTCTTGAGGGTCTTCCAGATGAGAGTGTAGCTCGTCAGAATGATCAGAAACGGAAACAAGAAGCCCAGGATGTTCTTGGTCAGGCCCATGCCCACGGGGAGGGTTGAATTCTGGGACTCGTAGTGGAAAGCACACACGGTGATATTGGTGTTCTCGATGAAAAACACGTTTCGGTGGATCACGGCCGGCAAACTCGCCAAGGCAGCCAGCAGCCAAATGGTGATGCAGGTGACTTTGGCTACCAGCATTGTGCGCCGGAGACGGGACTTCATGGGGTGAACAATGGCCAGGTAGCGATCGATGCTGAGACACGTCAGGAGGAACACGCTGGCATAGAGGTTGAAGCTCACGCTGGCCGAAGCAATCTTACACAGGTAATTGCCGAAGGGCCAGCGGTACTCCATGGCGGTGTAGACGGCCCAGAGCGGCAGGGTCAGTAAGAAGCACAGGTCGGCCAGCGCCAAATTCAGGAGGAAGATGCTGGCCACAGTCTTCAGCTTCATGTAGAAGTAGATGACGATCACCACTAGGCTGTTCCCAAAGATGCCCACCACGAAGATGATGCTGTACAACGTGGGGATCATGATGAAGATGTAACTGTGTCTGCCTGCCTTGGGACAGTCGTCCTGGATTCTTCTGATACCATCGTCAACAGAGGAGTTGAGGGTCATTTTGGCGGCGTGGCCGGCTCGGCTGAGTCCCCGAGAAGGATGCTGAGCGCACCTGGAACCAAAGGACAAGATGAAGAAAAGTTAACGTGCGGTTGTGGACAGATCCACCATTTAATCTCTCAGCCTACCATCCGGGGAGCTCAGTCTAAAGAGCCGGGGAGAATCCGAGCACACTTCGTGAAGTCAGCCTGTAAGCTGATACGCGTGGAGAGAGAACGTTTAAAGGGCACGCTGGAAAACACGGCCTTTGTGGCAGTGATAAACATCCTCCCAGAACAACGGCAATGGGGCCCCCTACCAGTGAGCGTTTCGGGGTCTGTGGCATTTTTGTCTACAAGTAAATCCTGGCTCTCAACTGGATGAAAATACATCATTCAAACTTCAAATACTGCTCCTCAATGACTTATTCAGCAAGAAGACTCGAGTTTTTCCTGCGGTAAGCAAGGCTAATTAATTTTGTCTTTAACCTCTGAAGTGTGACATAGCCCTGCTTAACACTTTTAGCCATTCCTTTCATCTCCTGGTCTTCACTGAGGACGACAGAGCATTAGCACCCTCCTTTGCACGGTGCGTGGTGAGACTAGCTGCCTCCGTGCTACTGACAAATTGGCCACTGTGGAAATTAATGTAACGGAGCCAAGTGAAGGCGTTAGATGTTGGGGACTAGTCCCTCGTGGCTTCCAGGGCTCTCCAACCTTTTGGCACTCACACCTCAACTCGGGCCTAGCCCAAGGGTCTGCCTTCCAGTCCTTTCTGAAATCAGCCACTTGTGTCCCAAGGCGGTCACATGAGCAGATCCGGTCAAGGCTTATCAGTTTGCCACAACGTCCTGAGTGAGGCTTTGTGGCCGTAGGAGCTCAGGACGGTGCTCCACCAGGAGTGGCTGCAGGTGTGTGTTCTGGTAGTTTACAGAAGCAGCAAGCTATCGCTGATGCCAGTGGTTCTCAGCCTTCCTCATGCCGCCACCCTTTCATACAGCTCCTTATGTGGGGGTGACCCCCGGCCATAACATTATTTCATTGCTACTTCATCACTGCCGTTTTGCTACTGGGATGAATTGTCATGTAAATATCTGATAGGCAGGATGTATTTGCATTGTTACAAAATTGAACATCATGATAGCATAATGATTCATCACAAAACAATATGTAATTATATATTGCGACTATTTATTTCTAATGACAAATCAATGAAATGTCTTGAAGTATGGTGTAGCATGGGTAACAGTCTTCACACCGGGTACTCGTCTGTGGGCGGACCCGCCTGGAGACGGATAGTGGAGCGATGTCTCTGTTCCTAAGACTGTCAGAAAGATGTGTTTTCCGATGGTGTAAGGCGACCCTTGTGTGAAGGCCGTTCAACCCCTAAGGGGGTTGCGACCCACAGGATGAGAACTGTTGGTGTATGCGATTTACGAAATCCACCTATTCTGCCCTATACCAGGGGAAGGAGGCCAAAGGCCTGCCTCAGAGGTGGCTGGGCGCACACTGGAGTGAAGGCCGCCAGTGGGGCTGGACATACGTGGTCTATGGCTACATCAGGAGCAGAGGTCTGCGTGAGCCTGGCTGAGCCTCCCCATGCAGCAGTGTGTCCCAGGGGACAGGACAGGAAGAAGACAGTCATGGCTGCTCAGAGAGGCTGGGCTCAGCATGTGGGGCCCTAGATTCCCATGCCCACAGGAAGGTCCATCCTGGTTAGAATGCTACCACCAGGTGCCATCACACGCCCGATGAGCCTCCCCACGGATGCATTAGATAACACAGGAGAACAACAGGGTTACAGGTGGCCTTCTTGCCGCCTCTAAACAGCCAATCTGGTGTTTGGTTCCTTCTCATTTATACCCAGCCCGCTGTCATTTAAATCTCTTCCTTCTCCTTTCATTCCCAGGGGCGTCAGGATCTGCGGAGGGTTCCATCCTCTGCACAGGCCCCATTCTCTGTGAAGCATTTCTGGGTAAGTGATAACTCTTGTCCTCCCTTCTGGCCCTAGGACACGGGTTTTGACAACAATAGTTGTCTTGTAATGAACTTGGCTCAGCTCCTTGAGGGCGGAGCCCGTGGTGAGTCATCTTGTTTACCAGTGTAACCTCTGGCACATTCCAGGAAGGCAGATGATACTTGTTGTCTGAGGTGCAAATGGAGACAGAAATGAGGAACTACGGAAAGGCAATGGGTAGAGAGGATGGAGGCTCATTTCAATGGGCCTGATAGAACCAATCTGTGTCTAATGTGCCAAAGAACTTCAGAGGAGACCCCTAGCACTAAACCAGGCATCATCATGCACAAGAAAAACAACACAAACCTGCGAAGTAAAAGCACTTTTAGAAATCTGTGCTTTGACAAAAAACAGATGAAAAGGGGTCATTTAAAAGAAACTAGACTCTTCTGTGATCTTGGTCGCAGGGAGGAGATGAGCCAGTCAGGGTGCAGGGTAGCAACGATGAAACATACAACTTTCCCCTAGTTCCTAAATGCTTCCTCAGCCCACCCCACTATCCTGATCCCAATTCTACCTTACAAATCTGGCTAGACCATAGGATGTACACTGGTACAGATAGGAACTGGAAACACAGGGAATCCAGGGCGGATGACCCCTTCAGGACCAGTGGTGAGAGTGGCGATACCAGGTGGGTGGAGGAGGATGGGGTAGAAAAGGGGAGCTGATTACAAGGATCTCCATATAATCCCCTCCTTGGGGGATGGGCAACAGAAAAGTGGATGAGGGAAGACGTTGGACAGTGTAAGACATGACAAAATAATAATTTATAAATTATCAGGGGTTCATGAGGAAGGGGGGAGCAGGAAGGGAGGGGAAAATGAGCTGGTACCAAGGGCTCAGATTGATGATGGCAACAAATGTAAAAATGTGCTTGACACAATGGGTGGATGTGTGGATTATGATAAGAGTTGTGTGAACCCCGAATAAAATGATAAAGAAAGAAAGAGATAGAAAGAAACTAGACTAGGTTCTCAGATAAGTCGGATCTATTTCTGTCTCAGAATACTAACTGGCACCTCATGGATGATTCCATTCCTGTTCTTTAAGTTCCTGGAGTTCTGCTAAGTTGCAAGTATAAATCCATTTGGGTAAAAAACAAATATTCTTTATGAAAGAGTACACGCTTCATAAAAAGTACTGTGGCGAGCAGTCATGTGCACCTTCACGTGGCTGGATTTGCTCCTTGGCTAAGCTTCTCGTACCTCGTTGAGGCTATTTGGATTGTGCCCATGGGAAAAGGGAATCTTCCAGGTTAAAGGACCTTGCAGATGGGAAGGTGCCTGAGGTGACCTCCATGCTGCTAAGGTAGGGAAGTGGAACACATTTGGTGAGCTTGGCACATGGGCCCTAAAGTTAGGAAAACATCAACTTGATGCGTTAGATTCCACTGGGGCCCCTGAGCTCGAACCTACTGCCAAGGAGTTGATCCCAACTTAACAGAGCAGGGGATTGATCTTTTCCCTCCAACTCTGCTGTGTTGGCATACAACTACAACGCAGGTGTTTTTGTTTTTAATCAATTATATGTCTAGTGTTGGGTAGAATTTTATTGACTAGTCTGGAACTGGCATTATCATTGAAATACAATTTATATTAAAAAGTCCCCGCATGGGCACTAACCCATCTAAGGGGAGGATATTGTTTATATCTCCAGAGGAGAGGGAGAGAGAGACCAGGCTTCAACCTGGTGCACCGATGTGAAGACAACATCCTGGCATCTATCAGGGAACCAACAGAGGTCTACGGAACTGGCCCCAATCCCAACTATGTGGGCCCTCACCCGACAGAAGAATGCACTTCAGAGGACAGCACTGAAGCTACAGCTCAGGGAGAGGGACACGTCTGATCAGAGCACACAGGTTAAACGAAGAGGGAAGGAGAGAGAGTGGAACCCATCCTGGCCCACCAAGCCCCGAGGACAGTATTCCTTCTCAGCGCAGACAATGCCCAGAGAGGACCATAGGGCCAGCCCCACCATGAGACAGGACATCCCTCACTGGACCACAGCGCTATGGGGGACAACACTGGAGACACAGTGCAGGAATTGTACCCTATCTGACCCCATCATATTGGGGCGAAACATTAAGGGCACGCAGCAGAGCAGCAATGAAGTCTCCAGCGCATACCAAAAATCGACTTTGGGGACAGAGTGTGGCACCCCATCAGACTCGGCTGGAAAACAACTACTTATAGGCTTTTCCTTTTTGTCATTGGCTTTCTTTTTTTGTTGTTGGTGGTTTTGTCTTTTTTCCCCTTATTAATGTCTCTGCATGTCTATCTAGATAAGATAGGCGGGATAAACAATTCAGAGAAAAAAACAACGGGACTGACAGTTCCGGGGGAGGGTGCACAGAAGGGGAGGTGGGGGAAAGGAAGGGGGTGCCAACCAACCCAGGGACAAGGGAACACCAAGTGAGTTAAAAATCAGTGGAGAGAAGGGTGTAGGATGCCTAGTGG